ACGGCAGAGCCTGAAACTGTCAGGTGCGACAGCCTGGGGACAGGCAGAGAACCAGCCACCGGCGACGCTGGGAACCGCTGTGGTCCCTGACAAAGGGAAGAGGATGGAGAGCCTGTTGCCAGCTGCCCACCAGCTTTCCGCTCTACACAGTGGCCTTGGTGTCTCAGGCTCAGACCTGGGCCCGCCTCCGATGTGCGGCCACGGGCAAGCGCCGCCCTTGCTCTGCCTGAGGGTCAGATGTGGGATTCCAGGTGGGACGCGGCAGAGCTCACTCACGTCAGGAGTGGAGGCAGAGGGACCATGAGGGGGAGACGTGGGGGCCGAGGCCATCAAGCCAGGGACTCTCATTCTGTGACGGCTTTGTCGCTCTGACTGGCGCTGCACCCCATCTAGGGGCCTGCCTCCACCAGTCTGTACCCAGCAGGCGCAGGCAGGAGGAGGTCTCCCCTCTGGGCACATGTGCGGAGGCCACAGGCGGAGCAGCGTGAGGAGTGGGCTCCCGGGGGCACAGCATCGCTGTGTGCAGCTGGAAGCAGACAGCTGGGCATCCACACGGTGACCTGGGTCTTCCCCGAGTGGAAAGCGGCTGCATCTCGAGCCGTTCCTTGTGCAGGTGCACCTGAGCCTACCACATAACTGTCTATACCACAGAGCTCCTAGGCCAGCTACAGAGTGTGTTTTACACACCGACCGAGGGATGGCACTGAATACGCGGAGCAGGGAGGTGCCTGAGGTGCTGGGATGGGAGCAGGGGATGAGAGGGCAATCAGACAGCGACACACCCTGCAGGGAGTGCTGTGCAGCGCCCGCCTGGGTGGATCTACATCCTCATCCTCGGGAGTAACATAATGACCCCAAATCAAGTGAAACAAAGCTTCTGGGGCCATGGCTGTGGCAGAGCGCAGCCACCTGGGCTCAGAGGTGGCTCAGCCGTCTGTCCCCTCCCATGGCAGTAGACCTCTGCTGTGTGAGGACCACGCCCTCACAGGCACTCAGCGGCATCCGGACTCAGTGGTGAGGGCGCGGCAGCTGAAGCTGGTGTGGGCCGAGAGGTAGCAGGGCAGGCAGGTGGCTCAGGAGCAAAGCAAAGCGGAGACAGAAAACGAGAGCCACGGGGACCAGGGAACTGGTCCGCCAACCGCCTCCCCTCTGCAGACGGCCTGGATGGCCGAGAGGGAGAATACGGTCATCCCCACGGTGACCCTGCTAGGGGTGGGTGCGGCGGAGGCCTCGGTCCGGGCCGAGTTCCTTGAGCGGCGTGCATGAGATGGGAGATGCTGTCAGTGGGTGAGTAGCTGAAGTTCCGGTTCTTACCAAGGTGCGAACACAGTGGGAGAAGCTCAGGCCCCAGAGCCGTAGCACAGAAGAGCTTATGGGCTGATTTCAGGTAACTTGACCACCCGACGGAGGTTCGCCCAGCTCACCGTGTGCCCAGCCCAGCCCTGCCGGACGCGGCGCTAAGCTGCACAGGTGGGCACCCCCACAGCACACACGGGAGCTAGGTGCTGGGCGGGAAGGGAGCCGGTGGACGGAGCGTCTACACTGTCCCTCTGGGATCAGCTCAATGAGCACTGAAGCAGGGCAGCAGGCGCAGGGCAGGGCTGGGCTCTTAGTGAGGGTGTCAGGCACGGCCTGGGCACCAGGTGAGGTAGGGCCTGTGCCAGACCTGAACTGGGGGTGACCCAGCAGGTTGGGGGAGGGGGCGAGGAGCTGGGCACAAAGCAGCCGAGAGGGGAGCCCGGCCCAGGGCAGGGGCAGGTGCCTTCCAGGTGAGGTAGGGCCTGTGCCAGACCTGAACTGGGGGTGACCCAGCAGGTTGGGGGAGGGGGCGAGGAGTGGAGGGGAGGAGGTTGAAGCAGCGGCAGGCCACGGGGTGCTCCGTCCACTTGGGGAGGACTGGGCGCCGTAGTGTCCCTGGACGCTGTCTGACCCCTGCAGTTCACAGGTTGCTGGGTGGGCTGGGGGTGGGGACAGCAGCATCCTGGGGTGGGTGCTGGAGGCCAGGTCGGGGAGGCTGGGAGGTGAGCGAGCAGAGCACCCACCCAGGGAGGCCAGCCAAGAGGGGAGTCGGAGGGCGAGAGCGGGACTGCCTTGATGGCGTCAGTCCGAGCGCTATTGTGGCACTGTCGGGAAACAGTGACAGGTCCCTGGTCCCTTCCAGTGCAAGGCTGCTTGGGCAACTGCCAGCTCTGTGCGGCTTCCCTCTCGGCTTTCCCCCCACAGGTGACAGCACGTGGCCGCTGGACCTGGGACCCAGCACACGCTCCTCTCATTCCTCAGCCAGCTCTTAGCACACCCCACTTCTCACGTGCCCGTGCCCTGGCCATGGCTCCCACCCCACTGGCTCCGTATTAACGAGTTCAAACAACAGAACACGTGTTCATCCACTTTGCCAGAGAGTCACCTCGTAACCATTTAAAAATGAGCGTGGCCACACCACCGTGGGCTGTCGGGCAGGCTCTGGCGTGTGGCCCTGAAGTTCCTGCACAGGTAGGGGCCGAGGCAGAAGGGTGGGCGTGGGCGGGTCTACACCCACAGGACTGGACGCTCGGAGGAGCCAGCTGTGGGCTCACGTTCACTCTCCCACTCGGCACAGCTGCCCACAGGGAGCCCTTTCACTGCTGGTCTTCATGACCTCGTCACAGGTGAGGGACTGAAGCAGGAGAGGCGGGTTACCCAGAGTGGACCCCAGGCAGGTGGCTGGAGGACTCAATGCCACACCACGGTTCTGCCTGGGAATCTGGCCATAGCTGGGAGTGGGAGCACAGGCGGGTGGGACTGTGGGGTACAGAGTGTGGGACAGCCCACAGCAAGGTGCTGCCAGGCCCCTTGCCAGTGCACGGAGGCTGAGAAGCTGCCGAAGCTCCTGAAGGATGCGTTCACAGTTCGGGTCATCCCCTCTGCTCCGGCAGCTCCGCGTCTCCAGCACCACCAGGTTCTCGTGGCTGGCAACGCCCACATCTCCGCTCACGGTGATGCGACTTCTATGCTCGACCATGCGTGCCAGAGAGGCAGGGAGACTGGCCCTTACGGCTCATGAGGGGACTTCAGAACGCTGGTGGGGGACGGAGTTCAAGCACGAGTTCTTGGTTGAGAAGCATCTGAAACCCATGCATGGCCTTTCACAGTGTGCATTTTCCACGCGCTGCGTGAGCTCCCGTGGAGATCCCCGTCATGTACAGAACATGGCTGCAGGTGGCGCGGGAAGCAGGGCACGCAGGAGCCCGGAGCCCCGCTTCCCAACTTCCAGTCCTGATGGAGGCTAATTTTTCATTGTCCTTGAAGCTAATCAAGCCTGCAGAAACAGCATCACCAAATTGACTAAACGAGATTTTCAATTAACTGCAACAGATGGCTGAGATTTTCCAGGTGGCTCTCCGTATTAACTCCTGAGTGTGCTGGAGCAGGTCCCCGGAGGCCGGCGGCAGCCTGGCCGAAAACAATGGACTGTGTGCGCTCCAGGAGAGGAGCCAGAGCAGTCATCTGGACCTTTTGTTTTTTTTCCCAGCAAAATATCATCAACCAAATCACTCCAACCCCCAAAGTGCATGCGTGGGGCTGACTTCCTGATGGGTGGCCGGATCGTCGGGGCGGGGCACGGCTGTGAAGGGCCAGGCTCAGGAGGCCTCTGGGAGATGCAGGCCCTCCCAGGTGAGGGAGAGACCAGGCCAGGGCAGGGAGAGGCAGGGGGCG